TCAGATCCAAATTCCACTGCTGACAGCTGTGTGTCCCTGGGCAAGTTGCCTAACATCTCTGAGCATTACCTTCATCTTCAGAATGGGAGTAGGGCACCTATCTTCCCAGGCTGTAACTGGACCAATGAGGCGGGAAGGGCCTGTGTCCCAGTCCTGAGAACCCCACCACATTCAGTTACTGCTTGTTAAATGAATGAATGGCCCAAGAAAGAGCTTGATTAATATCAGACAGTCCATGATAGCGCTGATGTCAGACACCGTTATTTCCTGAAACACTAAGAAGGAAAAATTTTAAAACGTTGCCAATGAAGACATAACCCAGTGTTTTTTTAGCACCTAGAATTTTTATCCCATACTTACTCAAGGATCTCTTTTGAGCTTAATAAGACATAAATTTCTATCACAGATCACTACTGAGTTTACATTAAAAGGAAAAAATCAGGGAAATCAATGGACTGGGTGTTCCTAATACTTCTCCGAGGTCAGAGCCACCTATGAATTGATCCCCCCACCCCCGCAACCCACAGCCCTGTCCCCCTTAGCCTCTGCCTGGTGAGTGAGTGGATCCGAGTTCCCTCAATGCTGTTGCCCTGTGTCTTCCTGCACCTTGAGGAAGATCCCTTCCTCCCCCCAGGCTTTGTGGCTCTCTCCATCGAGAGTTGGTGCCTGAGAGGTGAGGGGCCTCCGCTGTCCAGCCAAGGATACCTCCTTAGGGACAGTCACATCCTGCAGACACAGGGCCCACAGTGCCTGGAACATACACCCCGCAACTGTCATATGAACCCAGATTTCAGAAATGGGAAGATGCCGTCTTAAAGTCAATGAGATGCAGTGTAATACAATGTGAGAACTAGGACAAAGGGAACTTTTGAAGTCACAAAAGGGAGGGGCCCCTGCAAAGGCAGGAGGACCGCCTTCTGCTGCACCATGGATGTGGAGTGGCCTAGGGACCAAGGCCAATGAAGAACTTCAGACTCAGATGCATGACCCTGTTGCTGTTGTCACCTTTCTGCCCTGCCCACCTATGAGGAAAGAGGAGTCCTGGCTTCCTTACTTCCCTAAAGTGGGGCTGGGAGGATGGTTTTGGAGATGTTTCTTTCAGCTCAGAAAGTCTGGGGCCAGACTGAGCTGGAGGGGCCTATGGGGCCTCTGTGGTCATTCTTAGCCTGGCTGCAGCCCTTGAGAAACCTGGGCCTGGGGAGGCCTTGGGGGCAGAGGCTTGGGGGATCAGGTGGTCCCTTGAGTGTAGAAACGAAATCAGGCAGTGGGGCAACCAAAGACGAAGGAGATGCCTGGTTTCTCCTTGGACCCTGGAGCTCCAGGAAGGTCCCTAGGAAGTGTTGCTTACTCCAGGTTGAGCGGCGGCTGAGCGCCGCTTCAGGCCCTGGTTTCCCCTTAGGTAGATTAAGAGAGCACCCTCCGGCTCCAGGAGACGCAAACCTCGCACCTGGCCGGGTTAATGTGGCCCTGGGGTCCCTGTTTCCCTTCTTCCACGTTATGGGTTCTCACCAATGACCCTACAGGAGAATCCAGAACAGGGGAAGAGTGTAAACCTGAGTAAACTTTATTTGTTAAAAAGAGGGGCAGCAGAGGGGGGATGGGGAGCCCCTGCCCGGTTGCGCCTGTCATATCCTGGTGGTGCCGGCTCCGCGCAAAACCAGCGGCTAGTCGGAGGCTCTGAAAAGCGCTGCGGACCCCAGGCCGGCCGCGAGAGGCCCACTTCCCCCTGAACGCTTCCTGCGATCCTGGCCTGAGCTGAGCGCCGCACAGAGCTAGGCTCCCGCTTCCGACAAGAAGAACTACTTGCTCAGGATCGGGGTCACAATCCCCCATCTCCGGCTTGCTCTTCAGCCAAACCTCCCCCAAAGTCCCCCTTCTTGCCCAGGCCCCTACCCCCACCCCATAAAGCCCAGAAGCGCAAACTTCGCTCTTGCCTCCGAGCGCTGCTGTCTGGCTAATCCCGGGTGCTGCTCACGGGGTCCTGGCCGCCACGGGCGTTCCCCGTCCACCCCCAGTCCAGGTCCACTTATCTCGCGAGACACCCGAGCCCTCTCCCAGCCCGGGCTCCGGGCTCCAGAGACACAGCCGCGACCTCCTTTGCTCTCCGGTGTGGTCTCCGGGTTTTGTTTCCCAGGACATTGGGGCGGAGAAGAGACTTGTGCAGCAGAGGGGGAGGGAGCGAGAAGACCGTCCCTCCCCGAAGGCCCGGGCCTGGAGAGAGGGGAGCGGTTGCCACCAGGCAGGGAGGGAGCTTCCGCACAGGGTGGCCCGGGTGGCCGGGATGGGGTGTCACTCAGGCCTGGCGAATGCATCACCGTCCGTGGATAGGTTGCCGCTCTTCACCTAGAGTCCTGGTTCTGCGGGCTACGGCCCGCGGTAGAAGTCTTGGGATGGGCAGTAAAACTTCTGCCTCCGAGCCTTCGGTTTTTTCTGGAGCAGGCCTGAGCTTCCATCGGGTCTCATAGGAATTATCCAAGCAAGGAACCCCGAGGTGCCAGGAGGCAGCCGGCACACAGCCCCGTCCTCTCCCGGGCCTCCGGGTCTCGATCTGCTGCAGTCACCCCGCGCCCTGTCCGCCGAGGAGCACAGCGACGCAGGCAGTGACAGAAACCCCTCCCACCCCCTCTCGCACTGGAATCTGGACCCCTCATTTGGGGCCCAGCTCCCCCACTGACCGGCTGGTGACCTCATGACAGCAGTGCCCCCATCAGGTTCCCCAGCTGTGCCTGGAGGGGTTGCCCTTGCGCTGTGGCACCGGATTTGCTGTACGCCCTTCCTCTCTCCCTCCCTCTTAGAGCCCTAGTGCTTTATGGCCCTTTCCTCCAGTCCAGTGAGGGGGCTGCCTTGGGGAAACACCATAGAACCACAAGGCAATCTGCCCGAGGTTGCATTCCTCAGATTTAATAAAACCTGAGGACCCCGAACGAGGTCCCAGAATGGACTGAAGGAGTGTGGGTCAGTACGCCTCCTCTCTCCTCTTCCACTCTCCTTCCACAACTCTGCATAGTTAACAAAGGCTGTGATGGAATTTCTGTCCCCTAGGCCCAGGAGGGACAGAACTCGAATTTTCACTCCCACCCCTGCCACACTTCAAGGTGGAGAGGATTAAACTCAGTAGTGTACCTGATTTGGCTAGCCTGGGCCTGGCTCAGGAAGATTACAGCAGGACCACTACATTGAGCAGAACCGGGGGTAGCCCTAAGGGCTGGAAGGGATTAGAAGGTGCACTCATACACTGATGGTCCATTCCTTCCCTCCGGACTGCAGGTTTTCTCAGGCCCTTCAGGGGACAGTGACAAGTGAATATTCTGGGAGCTGTTTCAAGGTTAAGAGCCTAGAAAGGGAGCTTATTTTCCAGAGACTTGGCAGGGCTGGGGCTTGCAGAGAATTGCCTGCTGCCCTCAGAAAACACCCTCTTTCTCACTCCTCCCAGCCTTAAACCAAGGCCTGAGATGCTCGGGTACCAGTAATCCAAGTGCAGGTTTCAGGAAAGGGCGATCAAGCAGCGATTTAAAAAGGAAGTCATTGGCCGCTGCAGGTGGAGGCCATAACGGTTTTCACATACTGAAATGCAAAGTCTTCGTCTCAGCATAATGTTCCTGACTCTTTCCCTCTTATTTGCACCTGCAAGGACCTGGTTTCAAATCTCCGGCCTGTTTGGGACTCTGCAGGACCAAGTTTCCATCTCTCCCCTAGCTTTAACCAGCAAAGTGGCCATTTTTCCATTTCCATACCCTGGTGGTAGTCCTAGGAAGCACAAAAACAGGAACCAACATGCAAGCTCCCAGCCCAGACTAGACCAGAGAGGAGGCAACCAGGAGGCAACCGAGGCTTTCCTTGTGTGGGGAGGGGGGAGGGAGGGCAAACACGTGCCACCAAGCCGCGCCCCTGGAAAGGGCACCCTGCGTGACCTTGAGCAGTTTGGAGTCCTCGGCCCTTTGCCTTGGTTAGGTACCCCCACAGGTGCCGGTACTCGGCTGCCAGATGCCTCCCTCCTGTGTATACCGTGGAAAACTTGAAAATTCAGGGAGGCAGGCGCCTCTGCAGGCTGGAGCTGCTGATGGTGGCCGGCCTCTGTGCAAATCCCGAGTCCTTGGTTTCCCATAGGCCTCAGGAAGGGCTGGCCCGTACAATCTCAAGGACCTCGAAGTTAGTCCTTAAAGCCCCAGGAGACTGAACCAACAACAGGAGGCGGCTCTCAGCCCCGGGCAACTTCCGGAGTGAGCGCCGCGGTGCCCTCGGGCTGGCGACCCCTGTGTAGCCCGTTTGCTACCGTCTGGAGTGCCCTGGGCTGAGAAGGAAGGGCAGGAGGTTCAGAGTGGCCCTCATGCTCAGAGTGGAAGCGATTCCTAGGATCCTGCAGAGACCGAGCTTCCTCCGTGCCCGGCCCGGGCCAGGTGGAGCAGGTCACGGCTCGAGTCCACGTAGCCCGGGGAAAGGATGTTTCAGAAGACACTGCGCGTGTCCCTCTTACCTCGCCGCGTCCCCCCTGCCAACGTCGCGGATTCAGAAACCGCCCCCCCCATCAAGTCCCGCTGTATCATAAAATATTTTATTGGAAAAAAATCACCGTCTTCGTAAGAGAGGGGTAGGGGCCCCAGCGATGTCGGGTTGTCCGGGCGCCATCTCGGGCCGTGGTGGCCTGCGCCGGGCCGCGGGGTCCCCCGACGCGCGGAAGCGGGTGCGTGCCTGGAGGCGTCCGGGCCCGGGGGGGCGGCCCGAGGCGACTGGGGGGTGCAGGATAGGATCGGGGCGTGAATGCTCCTGGAGCGCCTGGCTACGGCGAGCTCCTAGAGGAGGCGACCTTCCGCCGCGCTGGACGTGTTTCCAGGCTAGGGCCCGCGAGCGCACGGGTTTGGCTTCAGGGTCTGTCCTTCCTTGTTTGGCCCCTAAATGTCCGCATTCAAGGTAATAATAAAAAGTTTAGAAAGCAAACGGCGTGGACGCAGAAGGGCCGACTCGCGGCTTCCGGCGGGTTATGGGGGCCGCGGACTGCGCTGGGGTTCCCTGGGCCCGAACCCTCTGCCGCGCTCAGTCCTCGTGGCTCCGGTCGCCGGCCTCGCCCGGCGCCTCCGCCGGCTTCTCCGCCTCCTTGGCGCGCTCCTGCTCCGTGAGCTGTTCGCTCGTGGGGATGGAGTTCTTCTTGGGCCTCCCCTTGGGCTTGGTGGGAGACTCCAGGCCGCCGCCCTGCAGCACCTGCGCGGGAGACGGGCGGCACCGCGTTGAGCTGGGACTGGGCCGGGGACCCCCGCGCCCTGTGCCCAGGCAGGGCCTGAAGAGCCCAACGAGGCCATTCGAGGCCGCGCCTAGCCCCCGGGAAATGGCGGCCATTTGTCTGAGCGCTGCTAGGGAAAAGTGACCAGAGGGTCCGGCAGAGGGGTTCAAGTCTTCCAGGAATCCTGAGGGTTCAGGGAGCGCGAAAGGAGCTGAGCTAGGGCACCCAGTGGGACAGAGAGCAGAGAGGGTCCCTCTGGGCACCAGGCACCAAGGGAATCGGGAGGGTTGGGCATAAGTCTCCATGGTGGAGCAGCTCTTGAAGAAGGCTACAGGGGCACGGCCACAATTAGAGGGCGCAGAATGCCACAAAAACACTCACTATTTTCTTCCACTTCATCCTTCGATTCTGGTACCACGTCTTCACCTGCAACTGGCTCAGACCCAGGGACTCGGCGAGATCTATTCTGGAAAGAGCGGGGTGCACCCTCAGCAGGGCAAGCAGCCCCCTCCCCCTACCCGCTGGGCTTAGCCTGGCCCCGCGCTACCTGTCGGGCGTGGAGAGGTACTTCTGCTTCTCGAAGCGTTTCTCTAGGCCCATCAGCTGCAGCTCGGTGAACACGGTGCGGCTCCGACGCCCCTTCTTGGCCTTGGTGCCCGGCTCCCCGGCGCCAGGCGCCTCCAGCTTCCCGCGGAGCTGCAGCTCGAGCGGCAGGTGCGGCGCGCCGGCAGCGCCGGGCAGCCCAGGCCCCGCGGCAAGCAGCGCCGAGCCCAACCCGGAGCAGCCAAGGGGCGCCAGCGGGAACTTAAACACCGCCGCCTGCTCGGCCTTCAGCACGGCTGCGGGGAGAGAGTGGGGAGCCGGGTGAGCTCGGGCCTTGCTCCTCCTCCTGGAGATCCTCGCACCATGCGCCCTAGCCGAGAGCTCTCTCTCAGCCGGTGACCCCAACACAAAACCTTCGTGCTGGCCGGGAAGTGAGAGATTTGCGCCAGGCACCTAGGCTGAACCTCCTCGACGCCAGGGTCCCCAGAGTCTGGGAAGGGGACCTCCCCCACCCGGGCTCTGCCTGGCATTCTCCAGGCCCCAGCTGCTCTGAGATTTCAGGATTCTCAATGAACAAGGTCGAAGCTCCCAAACACATAGAGTATGTGTCACGGAAAAGGGAAACCAAGAAAAAACGGCACAGAGTTAGGAAGATAAGCATTTGCCCCAACTAAATAGGCTTTGCTGCATTCGGGGGGGGGGTGGGTGGGGAAGAGTTTCAGTGGAAGAAGCACATCTGCTCTTCTGTGCAGGGCAAAACAGCCAATTCTGAGGGGCAGACAGCGGGTTGTCAGCAGGGGTGAAGTTGGGCGCTTCCCGGAAATTCCAAAGCACCCCAAGAAATGGGAAATTTGTTCTTCCTGTTTTCTCCATTTAGACTCTCCCCCACGAAGACGTTTCAGTTTTCATTAGTCCTAAACGATTTTTTTTTTTTGCCCGCTTCAAACGAATTATTTACCGTGCAGCTGGAGGCAAAAGGTAGCAGAGATTGGACTCAAAACGAACAAACTGGCCCTGCGGCCCCCCAGGCAGGCGGAACACTGGCTGGAGGGTCACTGCATGTGGAGGAAGTCGGCTCCCTGGGCTGAGGTCACGCTAGAACGTAGGAGGGCTCCCTGCCCAGATAGGCATCTCACTACCAGTGAGTGCTCTAGCCCCGATGGAATCGGGAAGGGCCCAGGCAAGATGTGCGGGTGAATATGAGGAGGGAGCCCAGAGGGGAGAAAGGATCCTTGGGGGAAGGTGAGAAAGGAAGGGCAGACCCACCCCACTGAGAGAGGCCGGTTAGAGAGAGACGGGGAAAGGCCAGAAGAAGGGGTGCAGTGGAGAGGGCACAGAAGGTCAAGACAGGGCCCCGACAAGGAAAGAAGAGAACCGAAAGGGACAGAAAAAGCCTGAGTTGCTGGTTCAAGCTCTGCCAAGGTGCAGCCGACCTGGAGCAGAAGGGCCATTCGGGCAGCAGCTCACAAACAAGCCTCTTGTCCCCAGGCAAGGCCCAAGGGGCTCTGTGCTACAGCACAGGTCGGTTCGTCGCCAGCCTGAGAACCCGGGCTCTGGGAGGCTCCGGGCTGGCTCGGGCCAGCGTCAGCCCCCAGCATAGCACTCGGAGACACGGGCCTCTTTCCCAAAGGTCCGGCTTTCCCGGCTTGGGCAGCCGCGGCCACTCCCAGCCAGCTCTCTGTGGGAAGGCCCAGGCGCCCGCGGCCTGAGGTCGCTTTGACCCGAAGTCTGACATTAGCAGTCTGGTCCAGCGCCCACGATGGGGATGCGGGCTCGGGTCCCCAGGCCTGGACTCCTCGGGGCTGGAAACCGCAGGGTCGCAGCGAAGAAGAGAGCGAATGCCCTCCCGGCAGGCCTGGCCCACGGGCACGAGGCCTGGCTTCTGCGCGGCCCAGCGCCTGCCCCCTTTGCTTCCCCGCCGGGAGCGCGCGGAGGGAACGGTCGGGGGCCTGCGTTCCCGGAGCTGCGTCCGAAAGACGCCGCGGCTCGCTTCCTCCCGCCGAGCCCGGCCAGCGCCCCGCGGCCCCAGGCCCCGCACGTACCCAGGTGGCTGTGGAAGGGCCGCGCCGCCAGCAGAGCCTGCACGCCGAACTTGAGCAGCTCGCCCGCGGCGGCGGCGGCGGCGGCGGCAGGAGCGGCGCCCTTGGGCCCCGGAGGCTCAGTGAGGATTTCCTCGATCATGAAGCTGCGGTAGCGGTGCGGCCGGTGGTCGGCGCAGCCCTCGGGCGGGCCGAAGCGCACTGCGCCCGGCTCCCCCGGCCGCTGCATCGCGGCGCCCCGGGGCTTGGCGGCGGCAGCGGCTGGGGCGCGGGGCCCGCGCGGGGGTCTAGGCCGGCCCGCAGATCCGGGCGGCGCGCGGGCGCCGGTTCATGCCCCCTCCCCCGCCGGCCGGCCGGGCGGAGGCACAGGGCGCGGGCGGGGCGCGCGGGGCTCGGCCGGTCGGACCCGGGACTGCGCCCCCGCCCCACTCTGCCGCGCCTCTAGCCCCGCCGGCCCCGCGTCACCGCCCCGCCCCGCCCGGCCGCCCCGCCTCGCGTCGCCGCCCCCCACCCCCCAGGCCGAGCCCGAGGGAGGGCCAGAGATGGGAGGGTGGCAGGCGGGAGGGGGCCGGGAGAGGGGCCGACCGTCCCAGACAGAGGGAGACCCAGCGGAGCGCACGCCCAAGAAGGATCGAGCCGGAGAGCTCGGGAGACAAGACCCCCGGGGATGGGAGCTGAGGGATCGAGAGAGAGGTGAGAGAGGGTCTACAGCGAGACAGCGAGGGCCACACAAGATGCGAGACAGTGACGTGAGGATGCCAGGGACACCGAGACTTGCGCAGAGAGCAACCGACAGAGGCGCGGGAGTCAGCGGGCCCTGACGTGCCGGAGAGCACAGAGGCAAGCAGGACAGAAAGAGGAGGCAGTTAAGAAAGAGATGGGACAGCTATCAAGGCGAGCGGCCTGGGCAGGGTTTAGGGAGCCCCGGAAAGATCAGGAGGAGGAGAGGCAGAGACCCCGAAGCTCGGCTGGAAAGGGGGTGGCGGTGCTCAGCCTCCGTGCCAGGACGCATGGCTGCCCGCCCGGGCAGGAGTGCAGCAGTGGGCCGGGTGCAACTCGTAGGGTAGTAGCTTCACCTGTGCCTCAGTTTACCAGGTACCGCCTCATTTCTCCTGAACTGCCCTGAGAGGCAAATTTCTCCAGCCAGAATTTGCTTGTATTACCAAGTGGTATGTGGACACATCTACACAACCCTAGACGCTGTGGAGTGGGTTGTGTTCCCCTAGTTCTAGCAAGAGATGGATGCCAGGACAAGGAAAGCCTGCAGCTTTGCCTTTTCGCTGTTTTGGAGCATCAGAGAAAACCAGTACTGGGTGGAGCTGGGTGAGAAGCCACAGGGTGCCCTGGGAGTCTGGGGATAAACTCTGGTGTGACCAGCCTCCTCTCTGAACTGTAAAGTCCCCAATGTGACTGAGGAAGGCTAGAGGCTTTGCTAGCTCCCTCTCTTCATCATTGGGGGAATATAAGTCCAAGTCGTGGGGTGAACAACCCCAAAGCTCAGCTCTCCGCTGAGTTTATCTCTTTGGCGATGCCACTTGAGGCAAGCCACTGCCCCATTCTGGACCTCAGTCTCCTTACCTGTCCCTGAAAAGATGCTGACAGCTCCAGGGAGGCTGTGAGGACTTGGGGCGGGGGTGGGGGGTGGGCGCTGTTCCCATGGGCTCCACAGGGTCTGTTAGAGAGGAGTATATAGTTTGTCCAGGCAAGGAGCGTGGGGTATCAGTGGAGATGGATGGGTGTCCCCAGGAGACTGGGGAGGGTGCCTGCCCCTCTCCTCCTGCCCATCGGGAGTCCCTCAACTGGGGTCCTCGGCCACTTCTCCTTCTCATGTGAGCTCTGCCTTGGGCCTCAGTGGTCACCTCTGAAAAATAGGATCTACCACACCCATGGCCCTGCCCCAAGATGGTGCATCTTCTGTAGCTCCAGCTGCTAGTGGTGAGACCCTGGCACCTGCCCCAGACCCTGTGTGGACTGGGAGATGCCCAAGACTCATTGTCCATAGGGACAAAGAGAATGTCTTACCAGAGTCTCTAAAAGCCCAGCTGCCTCTCCCCCTAGAGGCTGAGGGACTTCAGCCAGCGCTGCACCTTTCTGAACCTCCCGGCCATCATCAGAACTGAAAGGTGGCCTCCAGGTGCTCCATGTGTGGGTGATCTTGTGAGTCACATAGCTTCTCAGAAGGGGACAGTGTGGGACCTATTAAGAGTGATGGTATCCCATACTAGGCAGGCCTCTATCCCAGTAGGAGGTAGACAGACAGGGGTGGTTCTGTGCCACCTCTGTTGGCCCAGCAGCCACCCGGCAAACAGAGAAAAGCCAGTGTCTCCTGGAGCCCTGGGCAGTCCAGCTGGGACCCCTCCCTAGATAGGTGCTTGGGTGTCACCCAGTCCAACCATCTACTTTCTCAGATGGTGAAACTAAGGCCCAGGAAAAAGAAAGTACTGGCCCAGGGACCACAGGGAGCAGGGTTGCTCCCTGTATATATGGTATGGGGCCCATTTTTCTCTCACCTCCCTCCACCCAGTAGGGCCCACTGGCCATCTCTTTCTTCTTCTCCTCCTCCCTTCCACATCTTCCCAAGGGCATGGCCTAGCCTGCTGTGAGGGTTAGGCCTAGCCACCCCCACTCCATCCCTTCACCTCCTATTTGGGCCCCTGACTGAAGCCACCTGGTTTTGAACCATCTCTGCTCCACACAATTGCCTCCCTGAAGGTCTCAGGTCCTCCAGGTGGGAGCTCAGGACCCAGATCAGAGGACTTGGGAATCACATTGATCAGCTCTCACCAAATCCATTTTGCCCCCAGTCCTGGGTCAGGTTTAGGGGTAGGAGGTTATTTTCAGTATTGAGGCCTCACCTCTAGATTTTTGGGAGTCAGAAGACCAGTGCTGTCTAGCCCCCACCCTATTTCACGGGTGCTGAGTGGTCAGAGTGCTTCCCCTCAGCTCCTTGGGATAGTTCCAGGTGGCTGAGGCTGAGGGCTGAGCAGTGGCATCTGCTGGGAATGAGGCCCCAGGGCCCTTTTGGGTAATGCCATGGAGCATTGGAGGTCCGAAGGGCTAAGAGAGCCGGGTCCACCCAGTCACCCCTCAAGGCCCTCCCCTTGGTGGGTAGGCCTCTGATCTACCCCCTCCCGGTCTGTCTGTGCACCGCGTGATCCCAGAGAGAACTACAGATAAACCCCTTTTAGGCGAAAAAATGTTCAAAACAGCAGCAGGGCCTCCTCTGCTCGGGAATTGCAGCATTGTTGGCTGGGAAAGGACTCCCAGGGAGAGGGGTCCCTCCTCCCTGCGGGAACAGACGCCCAAAGAAGGAAAGCCCCCCCGCACCCCGGGCGACGGGGCCTCGGGGCCTCTCCCGAGGTCCCAGCCCTGCAATCCCCACCCCAGGGGCGCAGCCGCCGTGCCCAACTCCTGGGACCCAGCCCGGGCCTCCAGCCGCCGTTGCCGCCGCGAAAATCCCGGAAACCGTCCGCTCTCGGCGGGCGCAGTGGAAAAGGTGACCTCAGCGCCCGCGGCCAGCCGCCCTCACCGGCGGCCAGGCGGCGAGGGGCTTCGGGCGGTAGGGGGGTCTCGGCGCCGCCCGGACGCCGGGTGAGGCCCCTCCCCACCGCTGCTCTGCTCCTCAGACCCCACAGCCGCGTTGGAGGGGCAACGCGAGGGAGAGGGTTACCTCCCTCCTTAATAGAACCCTCTCAGGCCAGGCATGCCAGGTTCCAGAACTTCTCCTCCTCCACCTAAGCCCTCCTCCTCCCCTAGAGCTTCCCGGGTCGGTTTCTGGAGCCGATTGGGCGAAGGAGTCCCCGAACCACTATACAGATGGGGAAGCTGAGTCCGGATGTTGGCAGGCCTGGGCAAGGTTGGTGGCCAAGGTCTGGGTGCTCCTGCATTACCTGGAGTGCTCTGGGCCCAGCTCCCCCTCCAGCACCCACCCAACCCCGGCCCTTTTTCGTTCGTCCTCCCTCCCAGTTGTCGCGGGTTTTTATCCTACTTGGCAAAGCAGAGGTGGGGATGGGAACCAAGGGGCGCTTTCTTCTGGACCGGTCAGCTCACCTCCGGGTGCAACCGTCTAGAAGCTGCCAACGGGGAGTCCTACACCTCTCCCCACCCCCAACTGACAGACCGGGAAACCGAGCCCGGAAGAGCTTCGCTGTCCCTGCCCCCGCACCCCACGCCCTGTGCCGGGCCTCCTCTATGAGGACGCGCACGGTCAGTGCCCGGAACGAAGGTCATCCTCCACTCGCTTCTTTCTGTAAACTGTCGCTTCTGATTGTCCCCGGCCCAGGGCAGGCTGGCGCTGGAGGCGGTGGCTATCAGGCGGGCGCTCCGGCTCGGTCTCCGTGGGCAATGCCAGAAGGAAGCCACCTGCACTCGGCCGGGAACGCATCGTTCGGTCTGAGGCCCGTGCCCGTTCTTGCGCCTAGTGTCTGAATCCAAGACTGCCGACATCTGTCTTGCCTTCAAAACAGAAAATCTCGAGGTTGTAAAATTACTCCGTCTCCACGCTCGCAAGTCACATCTCCCGGTGACCGCACAATCACTTTCTCGCTGGCGAAATGGGTCTCTAATGACGCCTTCCTTTATGAACATTTCAAAGTCATGTGTGGACTTTTCGTTTTGAATCATTTCAAACACCTGTGAGCTCGGGGCTCAAAGCGCGTTTTGGGACAGTACCTTGAGACACATTCCTCTCTCTCCCTTTCAAATTCTCCCTCTTCAAGTAATTTACAAATTTGTTCCTTTGGAAATAGTTACTTTATTTTTGTTTTGTAGCTAATTTTTAATGTGTGCTTTTCTTTAGAAGTGTGAGTTTTAAAAGATAGATCCATAGGTAGGTAGTAATTGCCTTGACGTAGCTAAGACCCGGTTTTTGATGCCCCCAGAAACCCAGAGCGATCCTGCTGGTCACAGCGCAGACCCCGGGCCATTCTGCACCACACCCCTCCCCCCACTCCCAGGCATTTCAGCCTGGCCCGGGAGGCTCTAGCAGCTACCTTGGTTCCTAGTAGAGTCGTGAGAAATAGCGGCACCCGAGGCCACAACCTGGGCCCGGAAGTAGTGGCCGCGGGTGCCTCGGCTCGCTGGGGCCCCAAGGCTTGCTCAGGAGCTGCTGCGCGCGGATACCGAGGCCGTATGTGGGCAGCCCGGGGAGCTCCTTTGGGCTTCTCCCGGTGGTGGCAGTGGCGTGTGCGTGTCCTTCCAGAACGTGCCCTGAGACAAGGGCGCCGTGCTCCGGGGACACGGGTGCC